TGTGGTGGCACATGCCTTTAATCCCAGCACTTGGGAGGCAGAGGCAGGAGGATCTTTGTGAGTTCGAGGCCAGCCTGGTCTACATAGTGAGTTCCAGGACAGCTGGGGCTACAGGGAGACCCTGTCTCAAAAAGACCAAAAAAAAAAATAATAATAATATTTTTCAATGAGCAGACCACACATGCAGTCCCTCTGTCTCCTCAGGCTGACATGGAATGTAGAAATGCTAAAGTGAAAAGTGGCAGGGCAGCACTTCCGCACTGCACTGTCCTTTCTGGCATATTTTCTTTTACTACCTGTTTTGTGGTCTGCAGGGTCCCTCAGGTCTGTTGCGTGCGTGAAATATTTTTCAATGAGCAGACCACACATGCAGTCCCTCTGTCTCCTCAGGCTGACATGGAATGTAGAAATGCTAAAGTGAAAAGTGGCAGGTCAGCACTTCCGCACTGCACTGTCCTTTCTGGCATATTGTCTTTCACTACCTGTTTAGCGGTCTGCAGGGTCCATCAGGTCTGTTGGGAGCCTGGGGAGGAATCGGTATCAGCTACAGCTCTGTGCACAACAGCTTCTCTGCCCATCTCTGGGAACTCAATCTTTCTCATTCTTCTGCAGAAGAGGGCTCTCTTGTAGTCAGCTTTAGTGATGATCAAAGCCACCTGTTGCCTGACCTCCATTAGGGACTACTGTAAGAGAAACCAGTTCCCAGCAGTGTCCCCCTAGTTACCATGGTGATGCCAGGAAACAAAACTCTTGAGAAGTACAGAGTTGAGTGGCTTTCTTCTCATTGAAGCAATTCTCCATTTTTAGCAATGCTTTCTACAGAAATTGGAGCCTTAAGCTCTTAGGTGAATTCTCTATTTCTCTTCATAGAAATTAAGAAAGTCTGTCCACAGGACAATCTGTTTTATTCTTGAAACTTAATGAATGACAACAACAACAACAAAATTCTAAATCTCTAGCTGATAGGCTCTGTCTTCACAGTACTTAACAAGCCTTCTCTTCATTGGGATACTTACCGAGCATTAATTAGTACGTGCTGGTACTTGAAAAGATTTTCATCAGTAGCCTGGGCGGGTGTGCCCTAGGATCATGTGTTACCATGGATTCACTCAGGTAACGGAGTCTTCTAGGATCCTCCCTGGAGCCAAGGAAGGTCTAGAGTTTCCTTGGAAAGCTTTAGCAAAGCTCATGAGCCAGGTCTGCTTCCCTGCTCCAGGTGCAGGATCTGAACTAGCACAGCAGAGGGCTTGCAGGATGAAGGGCTGTCTGCCCTTGTGCCTAGTCGCCTGACTCCCTGTGACACTTCGACTTTTTCTCTCCTTCCCTTTGGGCCTAGAAGTGCTTAATTAAAGATTCTCATTTCTCTCTCTTCCTCTTTCCTCCCTTACCAAATAAAACTCTTGACAAGAGTTTTAATTTCTAATTCCCACAGATGAAAGCTGCATTTTGAATTCTAAGATTGACAAGACAGGACCTCTGAGGGATACAGAGGCCACAGGCTAGATATCAACAAACCTACAGTCTCTCTCTGTTTTGCCTTTTCCTCCCTTATGGAAAAAACATCCAGAAAAGACCACCTTTCCATGTAACTTCTAGGAGGGCTTCCTTACCTTCAGAATTTGGTCTCCTTCTTGCAGACCCTCCTGTTCTGCTGAGGTACCCTCCTGAATGCCAGCAACAAATAGCCCGACATCATTTCCACCAGCCAACCGGAGGCCCACACTGTCTCCCTTCTTAAATTTCGCCATTTTCATGTTAGGGCTGTGGTTGGTTTGGTTTCAAAAAGCAAAGATGAAAGATATTTTTTAAAAGGAAAGACTCACATTAAGAGATGAGATATTTAACTTTTTCTAGCTCAAGAGTGAATTGATAGTTTATAAAAGTTCCCTCTCATTTTCCTCATCTATTCTATAATTTTATCTCATTGGGACAGTGAAAGGAATGTCCGCCAGCCCACAAGGGAGCAAAAATACAGAATTACCATGTCAGCTCATTTAAGATCAAAGAGCAAATAAAGGATAGAGTTACGGCTGAATTCTAACTATCTGATAGGATAGGATTCTTCCAAAGGAAAAATGTCCTCCAACGTCCACTGGTACCCACACATTCTGTCAAATAAAGACATAGCCCAGGTCCAAGGAAGTTGGTCCTAATTCAACTGCTGTCCAGACACCATTGCACATCATTCCTTCTCCCTCCCCACCCTGATGGAACTGTCACATCCCTCAGTCTCCAATGAGGCACCACAGTCCTGAGCTACTTCACCTATGTGGAGTTACACATCTGGGCAATGCAAATATTCAGAACAACATTTAGGAGAAGCCAGGTAGGTAAAAGAACATCAATGTCACAAAACTCATCCACTCCCATATTTTGTTCTTTGCCTCAATGATTCTTCTTTCTCATGTATGCTAGCAATAGGAGTTGGTAAAAGGTAGCTGAGAATATGCAAAGTCACCATCTGGGGTCAGGGAAGCACCTTTCTCCTAGACATCAGCTGAGTGTTAGAAGAAAGGGCAGGGGATAACAGAAATGGAAGTACATACCCATATATTGCTTCATCTTTAGGACTGGGAAGAAGAAAAGTTCTTGGGGCTGCTTTGGGGCTGAGGAACTATGGATTTAAAAAAACGTTGAATGTGGACTGGAGTATACCTTGGCGTGTAGTTTGCCTATCATGCAGAAGGCCCTGAGTTCAATACCCTTCCACAAAGAAAAATCAAAACAAAACAAGATGAAAACCTTCTTCCTTATCATTGTGAGTAGCACCAGCTTGGTTCTGAATATAAAGATAGCAAAATCCAAAGTCATTGTGAGTAGCACCAGCTTGGTTCTGAATATAAAGATAGCAAAATCCACAGGCTTTAAGCATGCATTTATTGTATACTACATGTATGTCATCACATCAAAGAACAGCACATGTGTTGACTTGCTGACTATGACATGCCAATTCTCAGAAGAACTTTCCCTTTCTTAATAAACAAACAGACAACAACAAAAAAGGAAATCTTTAAAATGAAGCTTAACTTTAAGCATTATCAGTTACCACAGTTTCTCAAAATAAAAGAACCTCCGAAATGCAAGGTATGCTCGCACAAGACACTGTTCTTTATAACCAGGAAATCATATAATAATACCATGTTTCTCCATCTATAGACACTCATGCTCATAAAATTATGATGATCATTACAGGGTAGTGGGAACAGAGTTAAAATAAAAAGGCTGGAATCATGGACATGGGGCAGGAGGGCTGTAACTCATCAAACATGTTAAAACCTGAGCAATTCTGATGATGTTGTGGAAAGGATTGTTTTTGTTTGTTTTTTTTTCTCCTCCCATATTAAAAGAGAGAAAAATAAGGAGGGCCTCTTCCACTTGAAGAATTTTTTTTTATTTAACTCTCTTTCTTCCAGCCACCTTCTAGAAGTATTAAGTGCCTATTTCTGCATGCCCTTAATCCCAGTGGAGGCAAGTAGATCTCTGTAAGTTAGAGGCCAGCCTGGTCTACACAGTGAAACCCTGCCTCAGAAAAAAAAAGGACCAAGGACCTTAAATCTCACCTGGGGGTTCCTCTTGGTATCTGGGTTCCTTGTGGGCCTCTGTGATGTCCCCTGTGGACTTGAACAGAGTGGGTGTTGCACCCATCCTGGACAGTCTGCCAGAGGTTTCTTCTCTTGAACTGAAACACACATCAGGTTCACGTTTCAGGAGGTAACACATTCACGATACATACACAAATACATTCATAATGACTTGAGCAGGGGAGAATCCACACCACCTTACCTTGGCCTTTCCTTCAGCTTCTCATTGGAAGAATGATAATCATAATCAGAATATTGCTGGCGTCTCTCCTCTGGAGAAAAGGAACGGTTTGACTCTATTTCTGAGATATCTGGTTTCAAAATAAGAAGACCTTTTCAGTAAAATATGTGCCAGAAATTACACTAATCTCTGAATAGGAAACACGAGGACAGACAGGCTAGAATATACTATTTAGTCTAGCTAGTGTTTCCTTTTCTAAGGGTGAGGGGCACTTCATAAGTATCAGGGAAAGGTATTACTTGACAAAGAGAAAGTCATATTCAGAATTTTATGTTTCTTTCAC